ATCAAAATTGACTATATAAGCCCCAAAATTGGCGCTTTATAATATAGATTGGATGTTTTATGCTGTCCCGCACTGTACAAAGTTACATTTTTTTTTTTGAAAGCTTGCACTTATTCTCGAAGGAGATACAATTTTAAAAAACAACAGGAATTTTTAAAAGCTAATAATCAGGAAGGTATTTTTTGATCAGGTTTTCTATTTGTGTGATTTGCACCATAACTAAAAACTTTGTACGTATATATCTGATATATGGTTTATATATCAGATAACAACTTTATTAACAAATTATGGTAATTAGATTCTATATACTTCACAATATTTTTTTCTTTTTTCAACATTTAGCTTTTTATTCTCAAAACTAGCTCAATTCCAAGATAGTCTGTCTATTCGGGCTGATTCAAGTTGATTTCTTTGATCAGATTGGCTAATCAACAATTTTAATCATATGATATGGAAAATCGATTAGTTGACAACCAACTCGGAACACTAGTTAAGGTCTGTTGGTTGGCAAGAACAACCTTCATTATAAATTTTTGTATAGACTAAACATACCAAACATACTGGACATGTATTCAAATGAAATCTTAATTTTGAATAATGTTAACATTGTAGTGTTATTTAGGATACAATTACAAAAATAGAATTATTATTACTGTAGTAGTAAATAGGTATTATAATCTTGATTTGTAAGATTGCTTTACCGAAATTAACTCTACTAAATGATAAGGGTACTTCACTTATTACATAATTATAACCCCCAGTTATTTGACAATTACAAGTTCTAAAGTAATCATGATATAAACTCTATATGATTGTTTATTTTAGAGCTTGCAATTGTCAAACAATTGATTAGAACTTGTAATTGTCAAATAGCTGACTCTGGAGGGGGGCTATAATTACGTAATAAGTGACAGTTCCCTAAAGAAAATCTTAATACTCACTATATAAATTATGCGAATTAAATGATCTGTATATAATGACAAATAAGTATTTCTAATCTTGACTTGTGAATTTGGATTAATAAATAATCTTTTACTTGCGGCTAAATCAATGCAAATGAAATGATTTGTAAGTAGGCATTTTGATATTGGCTTGTGAAATTGGTTTGCAATTTTAATTTCACTGATTAATAAGATCAAATTTTTATACTTACAAGATCTCGATGGATAATTTGATTTACATATAAGAACTTAAATAATCTTTTACTTGCCGACTAAATCAATGCGAATAAAGTAATTTGTATGTAGTAGTAAGTGTTTATGATCTTGATTTGTGAACTTTGCCTATTTTAATTTCACTGACTAATAAATGATCTTTATACTTGCCAACTAAATCGAAGTGATTTATATATACAAAAAATTCATAAAAAATTTTTTTAAAGACTAGTTGGTGATATGAAACGATAGTATAAGTTTGTTTGGCCTTATTTATATATCTTGATATATATTTTAATGTGGTATATAATCGTAGTCATCATTATCATTATAATTATTATAGTAAAAAAAAGATAAGCGGTTAACATAGATGAAAGTTGAAACCTCAATTTTATATGACTATAAATATGTTCATTGAATACTTACAAATGCTTTGGCTTATAAATATTATGATGAATTTCTAATAATTTACAAGAGTGTAAATAAAAAGACTTTTTTTTTTATCAAAAATCACATAAAATATGTGATTTTAAAAGGAAGTTGATCGCATTTGCCCGGTTGATTTTGTAACAATCGAGCAGTTATTATGCATGTACGATCGAGATTCACATACACTTGATCGATCTAGAGAAAAATTAAGTTACGATTGTTGGTTTGGGAGTGCGACGCATAACAAATGCACATAGTATTTCCAACAACTATATGGATTGAATGGTACGAAGTTTCTAATAGAAGTAATCTATAAGAGTGAGCTAATGATGGGTAGATTCAATAAAGGAAATAATTATGAAGATGGTACAGTATACCCCTTCTTTATTAAAATAAACCTTTACCATTCACGTCATTATGTAATTCTTAACAATCACGATACTAATTTAGTTAGAAAAAGCCATAAGTTGATTCATTACACTGCTAACTTAAGTAGTCATTGCCCATAAACTTTTACCTAATCACACTTCAAACATTATGTAATTTCTTAACCAATAATGATACCAATTTGACACTATTTATTAATTTGGGATGTTTATTTGGGTTTGGGTTTTAAGTCGAAATTATGTAGAAATTCCAAACCCAAATTATGTAGTAATGTCATGCACATAATTAATAAAGTTGTCAGGAACGAAGTGCCAAAATAAAATTAACCTTAAGTACAGATGTTCAGAATATATATGTTAAAAATGTTATAAGACTACGTGCTCTGCTTATTAGAATAACAAAAAGAAATTGCATCCAGCATTCCGCCTAACCAGGTGTACTAGCCCTACATTTGGGACACGTACATATATCCCCCGTCTATTAGGATAATCATGAATGTACGTGACATCCGGCATTCACCCTTGCTGAGCCAATTAGCTTGGCTTCAGACTACTTGCCCTATATAGAAGGTTTATACACCCTCTTCTATTAGGATAACCGTGAGATTGGTATCTAGCGTTTGCCTTAGACTACTAGCCTTACATTAGAAGGAGTATGGTGTCTTATGGATAACATGCTTCAGAGAAAAAAAAACCAAAAAAATTTGTTCATCCCCTATAATTTTGACCAATCGAATTTTGTATTTACTAATTTCCCCCAAGTTTTGATTGGCAGGGATTATTTGTGCCAATTTACAAAATTTTGCAAGAAATTTTTTTTGTTGATATATAAAAGGTGATTTCTTAGGCGAAATTTTGCGATAAGTGTGAAAATCGATTGTTGTTTTTCACGTTACACTTAATCTTGCATTCTGATCGGTCAATATCGAATCTTGGGGAAATTGGTAAATGCTCGAATTTCAGGATCAGATGTAATGTCAAAATCGAAACACGTTTGTTTTGACACCCTAAATTTTTGATTTATCAAAATTGTATTAATGAAGAAAAATAAGAAAAAAGATTCAAAACGCTATTCCAGAACTTTAGTAAATTTCAAAGTGTAGCTTGTGACAGAAAATGAAAATTGACATATTAATATCTTGGTATACTTAGGCAAACATTGATAAAAAATGGCAAGTCGCGGCTAAACAACTACAGACACAAGCCGTAATCATTTCTTCCGAAGAATATATTGAAGAAGTTCGTTCCATTGTTATACACGGCTTCTTGCAAAATGATAACAAACAAGCTTCACGCGATAATCAGAATGATATTCCTGACGATGTCACTTTAGCTATTCTAAAAAGAAGATCTTGCGAAAGTAGTGAATTAGAAAATGACGAAGAAGACAATATATCTCCATGTGAATTGGTAAGTATGGGGTCATTAACTATTATACAAAGAGAGTACTGGTAATAAAAATTACACTAATGATGAAATTGATGAGAATTCTGATAACGAAGTTTACACTGACAACATAGTTGATGGGGTAGAAAGAAAAAGGTAAATCTTTATACAGATTTCAATTTTTAAAAATTTTATGATAAAGTCTTTCTATGTACTCTTAGAATAGCAAAATTCCTCTGCAAGAAAAGAAAAGGAAAGAAATAAACAATGGTTTTAATTTGATGGATAAAAATAAAATGTGGAAATTATCATCTGGTTATTATGTTGAAGAGAAATTATACAAGTTAGAAAACTATGAGCAGTAAGAATACAAATTATATCTTAGTTTGGTAATTATAATATGTAATTGTCCAGAGCGAAGCGAAGGATTTACATTTCTACGCTGTTTGATGACTGAAATTACGTTTTTTATGCATTTTTATAGTAAAAATATCAAAAACATAATTGTGGCATTTTCTGTCTGTAACGCCACGTATCTATCCTTGAACATTCGTATAACAACAACAAAGATTGATGTAAGGAGTTTTATAACCTTCATATCCTTTATCGCATACTATGTTTATAGTAACATGATAGAAACATGATAATTCCAATACAGATTAACTTGTTTTTACCGGAGTAAGCTATTTACCAAAATGGTTTATAGTAACTCACGTTCAGTGTTGGCCAAAAGCTTGGTCATATAGCATTTTTTATATGACCACTAGTCATAATGGTCATATAGTAATGGTCATATGGTGCATGTAGCCTAGAACCAGCATCACATGACTTTTTATAACTATGTAAAATAAAAATGGCTATAACTAATAATAATACTATTATAACAAAAAAAATTATTCTGT